ATAACATCAGTGGCGAATCCAGGCGGCGTATAGGTCACATGCCCCCATCCCCACCTTTGATGGCCCAAAATATATTAAATCTTTTTTTTTTACGATTTTATTTAGCTTAATTCATCCAAAACATTGTTCGCTTTGCTACGCTCTGCGGTATGTAAGGTGTTTGAATTACGCCCACTTTGAAAAAACCTGAATCCGTCCCTATATATTGTCAATAATATACTGACCAACGTCAATGTACGAAAATCATACCACAATGGAGAGATAACAGAACCGTTTATTTATACAACTATTAATAAAATAATCATTATTGCATTTTCTCGATGGCCTGAGACTATTATACTAATTTATACTTAGTATTATAGTTACAATTAGGGATAGATGGATTTGATTTTTAACGCATGATTATTGTAATCCTTTTCTCACCATAAACATTCATTTTCTATGGCGATTCTGCAAGCATATATACATGTGTCAGATTATCATGCCATATACTGAACATTTAGCCTTAAGAAGATTTATTTAAAACGATCATAGGAAATATTACACCCCTAGGTAGATTGGGGTACTTATAAAGATAACCATCCTGTTGTGCAAGAAAATCACATATCAAATGTGCGTTCTTCAATTTTTAAGACCATAAACTCTAATTTTAAGTTTAAACACTAAAATTTACATAATTCATATAAAAAAAAACCGTATAGAGAGCTTAAATCTCAATTTGCGGTTTAACCTTCATTTCTATCTATTTCGCAGTTAGAGTTTTTTTTTTTAATGCAAAGCAAAATTATAATTATTTTTGTTCCAATAAAGTAGGAATTCAAGTGTTTACAGATTCAATAAATAATAAGTTGTCCTCTGTAAGAAATCGTTTTCTTACCAGCCACCAAACTCCTTTTTTTCCTCCTAATTGCTGAAATTCAATTATGTTATGCGATTATGCCTTTTTTTTCTTAGACAAAACCGGGTTCTGCCTTGTGAAATCTAGGACAAAACCGGGTTGTACACATTGACAAAACCGGGTGCTTCCATTTTGACATGACCCATTTCTTTCGATTCATACGCAGAAATACAAGTATTGAGGTGCTCAAAGTGACTAGTTTTGCAATCTTCATGTCAATATCTTTCTTTCCGTACCATGTGAACAATTTAAGGAGAAATTAAACAAATTCGAGGCAAGGTTCACTCAATTCGTCATTTTGACGTGCATTTTTACTTATTTCTCCGTTAATCTAGAACGGTTGTAGAAAATATTACATCTCACAATAGAAAATAGTTGTATATGTATAAATATTCTCCGATTTCATAACAATAACAAATAAATAAACAGAAAACTACCTTTTCTCTATCTATTGATGTTCCGTCACCGTGCCGGATATTAGATACCATCGAGTCCAAACATTTTTTGCCGGGGTAGTTTAAACAGTGATTATCAACTACAAAAACTTTGTTGTTGTCTTTGTCAAATTCACTGTTTACAAAACTTTGAATTGTTTGAAATACTAAGGATTTTTGGGTCTCGTTTTTTTTTTATTCGAGCGTCACTGATGAGTCTTGTGTAGACGAAACGCTCGTCTGGCGCACAAAATTATAAGCCTGGTATCATTGATGAGTTTTTATTACTATCAGCGACAAAAAACTTTTTGTAGGCGTCTTTGTCAAATTTACCATCAACTACAACAACTTTTTTGTTAGCGTCTTGGTTAGATTTATTTGTGTGTTTTTTTCGAATTTTTTAATCAGTTGTGTTGTATGTTTGTAATGTATGTTTATACAGTTTTGGCTGCTGGATTCCAATTATTGTCACATTTACCTATTATGCCTGTTTGGGTTGCTCACCGTATTTTGTCAAAAAAGGGAACTATAAACAATTGTCATACAAGTGGGAGGTTAAGCTAGCTATAAAATCGGGTTTAACCACCATTTTCTTCGGAAAATGCCTGTACCAAATGAGGAATATGATAGTTGTTTTAATTCGTTCCTTTGGTTGATAAAGTTTAACGTTTGATTTTGTCTGTTTTTATGGAATTCCCCTTTTTTAATCTACCTTGGAGTTCGGTATTTTTATTATACTTTTTTACACGGAAAGAAATATTGAAGATGGTAACCAATGACAACCATTGGATTACAGGCTACTGGCCTTTGACATGCACGCACAGATTTTTACGACGAACGATGGACAGCATATGACCCACACTTAAGGCTTGCAAAAGCTCGTTTTGCTTCTTTTGGCTAGGAAATAAATTATTTGGAAATTAAGAATGAGAAACATTCGATCTGTGATCACCGATTTAAATGTTTGAACATGGTTGAATAAAGAAATTATCTTAAAAAGAGGATAGATGTTCAAATATTAGGTAATAAAAACTTCGATAACAGCTATGTTATTTTCATGCTACTTCAACAAGATGTCGAATATTCACTCAAAATTTAACTTGCACACGAGTAAATGCTTGAAATTTAGGTAAACATTTAACTTAAACCATAAAAGTAGACCTTCAAATACTGTTGTGATTGTATGATAAGAGATTTAAATTTAATAATGGAGAGAAATTTTTAACTCATTTTTGCAAATGATACGTTTGCGTCACCAGTTTTCCAAATAGCTAGTATCCTATGCGCCAAAAAATAGAGAGTACGATTGCACGAATTCTTCGATGAAATTATCTCATAATTATGACTCTTCCTGTCCTCTTTTTCCCTTAATGCAGAATTAAGATAATTTAAAGTCATTAAGAAACACATTTTAAAAAAATGTGCTTCGCCGAGCGCAGCTGGATACGACCGCAGAGGTCCAACCCTGAACAGTTGGGGCAAAAATGGACACAATATCCAAGCTTGATACAGGTCTTAATTTGGATTGTAATTAAATATTTGACACATTATAGGTTTCTGACACAGAATAAATGTAGTCAAAGAACTTGAAATTGGTTATATGATTTGATTTATATTCAATTGAAGATTTCTTGCTGTTGTGCAATACACTGTGCTGTCGCGCAATACTTAGTAAAGCTGTTTTCAGACTATATACAAAGAATTAGCAAAATAAATCGTGACCCCCAATTATTTTTTTTGGAAAATTGATAATTTCTTAAATCTTGAGGAAAAAACATTGACCCTCCCCTCCAAAAAAAAAATTTTTATTTACCCCCCCCCCCCCCCCCCCCCCCCCCACACTCCAAAAAAAAAATATTTGAAGAGATTTTCTTTTTGTAAAATGTGGTATACACAAACTGAAAACTAGAAAAATGCTTGTTTTGGCCCCCTTTTAGGCCCCTAACTCCTGAACGGTTTGGGCAATTACCCCCAAAATGAATCCCAACCTTCTACTTATGGTATTAAACCTTGTGGTACAATTTCAGAGCAATCAAAATACTTATACACAAGTTATTGTCCTGAAACTAGAAAAATGCTTGTTTTGGGCCCCTTTTTGGCCCCTAATTCCTAAACGGTTGGGACCATCACCCCCAAAAACATTCCCAACCTTCCTGTTGTGGTATTGGACCTTTTGGTTAAATTTCATAGAGATCCATACACTTAAACTAAAGTTATTGTCCGGAAACCAAATGTCTTCGGACGACGACGACGTGATAGCAATATACGAACGCAAATTTTTTGCGGTCGTATAAAAATAATGCCATCTAGAGTCAGACAATATGATAATATTGAAGGTTGAAATTTGTAGATTAACACACATTACAGTGTTATATTTTATAGTGCTCACTGAGACGATACCACTGCTGGTGGACTATTAGTCCCCGAAAGTATCATCAGCTCAGTAGTCAGTGCTCGGTATTGACTTGATTTATAACAAACATTTCTTAAATTGTCCGTTTATAAATTTATAAATTATTGAGAAACTAAAGTTCCAACTCTCTCAGGAAATGTTGACCCTAGATGGATTTGGCTATTATTATTAGATCACTTTTGGCCATATAGCTTTTCACTCGTTTCAATACTTATACATCCTTTGCTTTCAAATATTTAGATTTGTCTAAATTGAGCGTTCCTGATGAAGGTAAGTCCAGAAAAGCGCCTCGGATGCCTAAAATTATTATGTGTTGTTTTCTTTTCTTTTTTTTATTTTAACATAGTCCAACTGAGGAATTATTAATTTCATACTTCTGCAATTTTTCAATGGCAAATGTTTCTTGTTTTTTCTCTCCGAATTATGTGTGTTTCTTAGCTCTGTGTGTGTGTGTGTATTTATTTTAATGTAGGTGGTGGTTTATACAATACAAATGTTGGAATTACTTTAAGGAAGTTCGCTACTCAGTTTCAAAATAACACTAGTATATATTGATAAGGGATTAATAAAGGAACAAAAAGAACAAAAATAAAATATAGGTCAATGTGCTTGTTTTCGAGATATTAGCCATTGAAATTTTGGCGGGAAAATATTCTCTCTTGACTTTTCATAGTTTTATTATTGACAAGTAAAAGTTCTCAAAAACTATTAAAAAATAATTAAGATTTTATAAGACTTTTACAGATGGCTTATAATTATGCATGTGAAAGATTTTTAAAAAGAAAAATGGGGGTCAATGGGCAAAATATTTTAAGGCATTCAAATAGATAAAACCAGAGGATTCCGAAAATCTGACAAAAATTCCAAAACATGACAAGCGAACTTCCTTAAACAGCTTTATATGTAACGAATTCGACTTCTTGTAAAATATCCTAAAACTTATTTCATAAGTTAACCCTGGTATACTACGGATGCAATAGTTTACTGAGGACTGATATATGAAACAGTTTACCAAAAATAATGTCATAAGTAAGCATACATCATATATGTAATTTAGCGCAAATTAATTCTGTGCTGGGGTGAAATTGATACCTTTGAACAATAAAATTTTGCGCAATGGTATATCTTAAAAATAGCAGTTGGCGCAAAAAGACTGAAGCCAGGCATCATTCGTTAAGAAACGATATTGAGACTTAATTTCCTACCCTATCTAACTCTCCCTATATTTGCTGTGGCAGTCAAAATTGTTTTCCCGTTTGTTTCTCAATACCTTTTTATTGAACAAAATAAATGTCATTTTGTGAACACATGAACACGCTGATAACCTTCCCCTCGGTATATTTGTTTCCAGTTTGTTGTGAGATATGGATAACGAATTTTCCCATACCATCTATCTGCATTGAACCGTAAGAATTCATCATAGAAGTTGTACTGTACACCGATAGTCAACGACCCCCTTGAACGGGTAACACACCAGGCCCTTGCAATTGCGATAATATCTCCCCAAGGATTAAGTGCATCACCATATCGTCCTAACCCGGAGTGTTCGACAGAGCTAAACGTCACAACAGCGTCAAATAGTTCCATCTTTTCATTAAGGAAATTCATTCTGAAATCATACGGTAACATTGTTTTAACAAGAGGGTGCTCCGATACTATTTCCGCATATTCTAGTGTCACTACTTCACGGGCACCTGCCTCCAATACACATGCTTCAACCCAAGGAATTTCTGAGCCTATCACTAAAACACGTCCTCCTTTTATATTCGGTGCATGTTGTAGTCCATCACGCAAGGCATTTGTTTCAATAGCTCCATAATTGCCATTTAACTGACCTCGTTTTGCAAGGGCAATCCAATCCTCAATAAGTTTTTCACTCCAAACAAGCTTTTTATCTTTTTGACCTAAATACTGTTGATTTAGATAATACTTCTTCAAATGTATTCGTCCATTCATTGTAAATTCGTCAATCAATTCTGTCGGTATCTGTCCTGGTGCTTGAGGTAATCCATGGCCGATATCAATATACTTATTTTTAAACAAAGCTGTACAATTAACGTTTGCTAATATATGATCAAAAAATGGTCCAGGTAACCCTGTTCGTGAAGTGTCACACAACGGACCACAATCTTTCCTTATTGATTCAATTGATGTTAATAAGTTCGAAATATAAGCTGAAGATGAACCAGATATATACGGAGCATCTGAATTAACTTTAACTAATTTATAAGTAAAATAGTCTGACAACTGTGAGTATACAGAAAACAGCATCGTAATACCTAAACACACTATAACTATTCCTAGTCTTTGCCTATATTGCATCGTTTGTACACCTGTAAACAAACAAGAGAAAAATAATCTAATGAGAAAGTACACAGTATCCTTGTGAAATGTATTACTTACAAAAACTAAGTATTTAAGTCCATCCAACCTCAATAACCGCTGAAATTTAAGTACGAAATATCATAACAACTGCTTCTTTAAATAAAAAACAGACTGTATTTTTGGGTGTACAATTTCGATGAAATTAGATGCCATTTTCGAGAACACAATGTAAAATTACGTAACTTTATACACAACATGAATCTGTATCTTATTTCAAATTCTCATATTATATGATGATATGTTGGGTATCTAAATAGATTTTTTTTTTAATTTTTCATCGCATTATCTTGTAAAATTTCTCATAGGCAAAAATGACCCGTGTTGTTTTTTGAGAAAGAAACAAGCTATCAGCTTGATCGAAATTGCAGATTTTGATTAGAATTAACTTGTGCGGTATGCGTATGGCTAGTCTCTTGTTTTACAAGAGAATAAACTAGTTATGCAAACTAGTAGGGTATTTAATAGATTGCAAACGGGTTTTAAGTTTATCGAAGGCTGGGCGGTGACCACTCGACTTGCAGACAATTTTTTTTTATTGTTAAATGTTTATAAGACATGTGCAGTGAATGTGTATTTTTAGTATACTGATTTGTAATGTTTATTTTTATAGATTTGACACGGTGAAGTGTTTTAGCAGCGGTGTTTAGGACATTATTGTTTGATGAAAATACATTTATAGAGAATTGATTATGTTAATTATGTTGAATAAATGGAAATGGTCACCGTGGTCAGAAATAGTCTTGTCTTATTTATATAGATATATACAATATGAGTCCGTCTAGAGCAGAAATGGGGGGGGGGGGGGGGGGGGGTACAAGAAAATAACAGCAAAGCACATAAATATATTATGTTCGTTTGAACATCGTGAACTAAGAACATAATCGCATTTATGTAGTTTTATTAGAATACATTTTTTTGGGGTATCTAATATACGTGTTTTTACTTATTAATAAATTATAGTATGGAGCTTCGAGATATTTGTAAACTTTTAAAGTAAAGACATATGTTCACAAAACAGGCGATTAAGGTGAGTGCAAATAAGGTTGGATCTTTTTTGTGTATAAGCACAAATTACGCAGAAAAAAAATCCGCGGGAAGATAAAAGATTGATATTTTAAAGCATTTATTTGCATCTCTGCCCCTGGTAAGTTTTTTGTGAAAAAATCTTAAAAATGGGCAATTATCTCATCAATAGAGAAAGCCGGGTACACTTTTTTTATGTTCAGGCGCGTTTTTGAGTTGTCTTAAAAACGTATCATGCAAAATATTTGATACAGCATCTCGCTTCAGAATCCATTACTTTTATAAATTTAGGCTACATGTTGATCTAGTAACTTTGAAAATTTAACAGTACAAAAAATGAAATATATAATAAAATAACTTATTAATGAGTCAAAACTCATAACAACAGAGTAGGCGTATTTGAATAACAAATTTTTACTAAAACCACTTGACAACAGACTTTTAATACTAGTGGATCTTTTTTGTGCATAACTTCCAAGAAAAATTCTTTATTTTGTGTGGGTTATCTATGGCAGTTAGTCTTCAGCCTCTGAAATTTTTAGTTTGCCCATCCACGAAATATTTAATTAGATTTTTTTGGTTGTTTTTATAACGTTCGAAAATTCACCTTGACAACCGATCAGACATAAGTTTTAAGTTGACAAAAGGCATAAAAGTATACTAAATGATGCTTAATAGCAAGTAGATACGTTTGTCTTTCAAAATACAACTGTCATGTAAGGATCGTAATGGTGATATTTTAATTTAGCCTGCTATGCGGGTAGAAGCGCGTCATCCCTATAGGCCTATACAATGACTTCCGTTTTCGCGATTGAAACACTTAGGTGGCGTAATGTGGAGATAATATTGACATTGAGAATCCTGACTGTTAACATGTAATCAATGCAGGGACAAATGGGCTAAGCTTTAGGAGATGCGACACCTGCAGTAGTTACAATGATTAAAACACTGACTTAGTCACGAAGCCTGTATGCAAATATATATAATTATCGCTCAACCATAAAAATGTATTCCAGTTCTTCCATTTTCAGAGAAACTGGGCTTATTTGAAGAAAATGTAACAAATATTTAACAAAGTCATTAAAACCATGAAAATGATATCAAAGAATGTTGCTTACAATAATTAGTGTTTATATTGAAGTTATGTACGGAATGCTATCATTACCACGTGTATTTGTGGTATAATTAATACACGTTTTGAATGTGTATAATTAATACACTTTTTGAATGTATATAATAGGTTAAATGTTTTTCATTGATTGAGTAAAAACTAATCATGATATTTGAACATTTCGTGTTATAGTTCTGGCGCGTGTGTGATTTTAAGATATTGTCATTCAAGGTTCGATTTCGGCGCAGCAAAGTTGTAATCTGTGCTTAACCTCAGTATTTCAGAATTTAGAGAAGGAAGTCCAATGTCTGAAGGTAAGACTGAGCATTCACACATTTCAAGTGGAAATAATAACAAAGTCGTTATTATATAGCAGAATAGCACCTCGATATGGCCGATACATTTGACTTTTTAGCGTGTTTAAACAAGTTGATCTAAAATCAATTTGGTCCGTGAGCAGGACTTTATTTCCAGAAAGCTAAAATAAGTCTCGTTAAAATTCAAGTACGAGGGCAATAAAATTCAACGCAAATTTAACGAAGAAGTTATTTCTGAGATAAACAAGATTCATAGCTATATATGTTCTCCGTTTAGAGACGAAGGTATATCGTATCATTATAAACCTCATAGACAAGGTTTAGGGCAGAAACAAGCCATCATACGTATAACATATACTTCAGTCGGTTTGGGCTACGGTTAGAGATTACGAATCTTATATCTTTGCTTCTTATTCCGAATATTAAACAAAAATCCGTCAGCGGAGTCCAGGGCCATAGCTACTATCAAAGATAAATCCCGTCGTTCACATCCCTTTAAGACAACTTCTAGGCCAGCTCCTATTGAAACAGCTCCTAATATCAATATTATGTTAATCAGTACCAGCGTCAGAATCCGCTGCCCTTTCGAGTCGGCAGCTGGCGGCATGAGCAGTGTCCCAACATGACATGTGCCATACCTGTAAGCAATTTGTCACTGGCGAAAGGATTGTTCACTACTCAAACACAACCAGTATATCACCAATAATAAAAACACAGAAAAATTAACAACGAACAGTAAGTTAATATTTTTTCATATACTTTTCGAGTTCGTAGATGGATACAGAATATCTCATGATGAACTTCTACATTGAATTAAGGCTAGATTACCAGAGTACTGCTTGAGCTCACGTTTTCTAAACACTTGCAAACAGTACCAGTATGCCTTAAATGCTTCCTGTAAGTGGTCTAAATTACATAATATTACTTCATTACCATCATCAGATTACACAGTTTCATAGTATTTGATTCACATTTCACCAAATGCAAAATCGGCAAGCGAGATAAATGAAGTTATATACGCTATCAGCTGGGCACACAAACTGGCTGGATTTAACAATCATTGTAACTCTGATTTAATTACATATTTGCTAATGCAGAGAAAATTAGGACATTTAATCACTAAAAAAGATCCAATTACACCAGGATATTTTGCAAAAAATTGTCATACTTACATGTGGTCAACTAAATAGTAATCCTAAAGATTTGAAAACTGTTTGTATGTGCGTATAAAGCAGTTTAGGTTTTTAAAACTTTTTTCTTGGAACTAGCTATTTGAGAGGCATCGACGTAACAATTTATTCTACACACGTAAATTTGTATTTGGTGAAGAGTAAAAAAAGACATTTATAGAGAAGGGAGAGACGTTATTTCTAGAACTAATTTTGTGACTTTTCCTGTTATTATGTTAGAACGGTTTCTCAAATTAGCTAGTACTATACTAGTATCAAAATCTGATGAATTTATATTTAGATCTACGTATTTTTTCAAATTTAATAATTCTTAGACGTACAGGTCCGTTGTCATATACGAGAACTCGGGAAATACTATTTTCATGTTTGCAGAATATCGGTTTAGACAGTGAAAAGGTTGGACTGCATAGTCTATATGTTCAAAAGGGACAGCGGCTGTTATAAGAGGACAGATTGTTAAAAAAAAACAAGGTCGATGAAAAAATGACACAGCCAAGAACGTTATGTTAGAGACTACTAGTATCCGTTTCTAATAATATTGGAATTGAACTATGTACCTTTCGTCCTTTCTTTATTTTTCGAAGCTTTGCTGCACACTTGTCAAGCGAGCTGGTCTTATATTAAGATGTAGAGTTTATTTTGTGTTCGTTTGAATATATGAATTAGAACATTAATCTAATAACTCTCTATCGGGTAAAGGTGGCAATAAGCTACGAAATTAAAAATTGTTAAAAAGACAATTTGAACCTGAAGAATACTGTAAAACAGCTCTCCCTTTTAGTCACAGAAGCGCTTTCACCAAATTTAGAAATGGTGTAGCCCCACTGAGGATTGAAACTGGGAGATATGAAATTATATATAGCTTTAGAAAACAGAGTGATGGTTTTGTAGAAGACAAAAAGCGCAATTTAGATAATACCTTTATAGTTTGTCATTTGATGTTTAAGAAATACTAAAAAAATTGTATAATTTGACGGAAAATCTTGCCAGGAATAGGCCTGAATTGAATGTGTATTATTTTGTCAAATATCTTTACCAAATCGTTTTAAATGTTGATGAAATTTTAACAAATATAAAAAAAATTGACGACACTTGGAAATTTAGATAAATACAAGTGCCATTTAAAAATTACTTTGTTTTACGTTATTCAATGGGGGAACAAGCACTTACACTAATTATAGATATCTTGTAGCTTAATAAAAGAATTGTATTCGTTACGTATTTATATTGTGACAAAATGTTTGATATAACTTTCTTTCAAACTAGGTTGGGGACTATTACTTCACCTTTAGAGGGAACAATAGCAA